TTCCAAAACCTTTCGTGTTCTACTTTTAGGTGAGATAGAAAGTTGTGAAGTTTTTATTTATCGGAGAGGCGCATTGTTGTGGTCGACGATTATCGGAGAAAGCTGTTATAAAATTTAAAACGGGTAATATTCTGAGTAACAGGCTATTTTTAAAGTTCGTCGAGCTAATATTATGTAGCTATTTATTTATTTCCGAGCTGATAATTTAGTTTACAAAATAATAACCGGCTAATAATTTATGTATCAATCTAATTATATAGTTGGCTGATATTAAACAATTTACCACCAATTGCTGCCAGTGACATGTTTCGCTGATCTGTGGTTCCATCCGTTCTATTAGTAGGCAAGTCCATATCATCATCACCGTCACGATCATTATCGTGATGGGGAGATGTAGGCTCCCTCTCCATCGGATTAGCTCCGGCTTGGTTAAGTAGATTTGAGTACAGAATCTCAAAATGAACTCTGTGCATTAGCATCTCTGCTTTAGTGAAGATCTGCTCTAATGCACGTCGAGCACCTTCAATCCTCCTTCCTGTTATCAGATCTGTATAAAGTTCGGAAAATTAGCTATCTACAATGCTAAATTACTGTTCCCTAGATGGAATAATATTCTTTACCGTGGTACTCAGCATTAGGTAGCTGACCGGTTGAATTAGGTTCCGGCATCAGAGGTGGAATCCTGTAGGATAAAGCCAGCGGAGTTGTTCCATTAAGCAAGAACCTTCTTCGTACATTCCCCAGCAAAGCTTCATAGCTTTCATCTCCCCGAAAGTTTGCGCCGTAACCTATATCGGATCTTTCACTCTGAAATTCCCATCGGCCGCATGGGCCAATAATCCAGTTTCCCCTCAACAGACGGAGAAAAAGGGCCATCGAACCTGGATTGTAAACACAAACACATAAGGATCACTGTAAAAGCAAAAGAAAATTATTTGCAACTGATTTACACATTTATCTCAGGTTTTTAGACTGCAAAAAATGTGGGTTTCAAACAGAACAATAATTAAAGACGAAAGTAGAGGTTTGGACTAGCCTTAAACGAGTTTGTTAGCCGTCTTCAATATATTCCTTTTGTTGGTTGATAAGAAATATGTTTTTGATTTTTGTTTGGCTGGTTCTGGAGATCATTTACTCGGCAGATATGTGTTTTTATAGAGGACAATCTATATGTTACTGTAAAATATATCAATGGCATATAGATGTATGGATTGCTCTTCACATATCGAGATCACGGCAGTTTATGGCGCCGCCTGTCACCTATAAGTAAAACAGTAAGCTATAATATATTTCGTGCAGGCTAAAAGATTTCATCACAATTTTCAATTGCAAAGTTTATCTCAGATAAGGATTATATATGTCTTTGTCCGTTAAGAAACTACTGTGCACATGAGTTTCGATATTCTCGTTGTCATTCTCTTAATATCGTAACAATCTGTTGTTTTGTAACTAGTTAATTTTAATATATATACATAAACGTTAATTGTAGTGGAGAAATGATTTATATCTCAATTTTTTCACTTTTATTTTTGTTGAAAACATGTAAACGCAAAGATTGTGTTGGAGAATATAGAGACCAGATGATGTAGAAACGAAAAGATCACTGATAGTAAAACATACATATATATTAATACTTTTTTGTCATCAAAATGATACATATTTAATTAAAAGGGAAATTGCAAAACTAAGTATGAGAAAGAAAAAAAAAAGGAGGGACCGTTTCTTTTTCTGATAAACAAATATTTCACCAATAATTTCTTTTAGAATTTTTGGAGCGGAAAAATACATGTATTTTGTAACAAGTTGTGGCGTTTAACTAAGTGGTAGTGGACTAGTGGTTCCCACTTGATGAAGTAATTGCTCTGTTGATCTAGGTCAAAGTTCAATTCTTCTCAAGCGTGGAATTATCTAATCACTTTCATTTGATCAGTCGAAATGGTACCTCGGTTTAGGTTCATTAGAAAATCTGGTGAGTGGGCTACTCGACGGTTACACTCAATCTGGAGAGATTAGTTGGATGGTAAAAGCCTGGATCACCTCTGATCTTTAGAAAAAAAAAAGTTGTGGCTT